AAAAAAAAAAACATATAGGCAAATATCAATTTCAAACAATTAATAACTGTAATTGAAATACATGGCAGTGATTTATGTGGTATCTAGAACCGATCAAATAAGAAAAAAAAATGACTAAGATATATACAAGTAAGAATAAAAATTATTCAGAAGAAGAAGAAATAAAACTTAAAATTTTAAAATTCAAATAAAAAATAAAGAGAAAGGTAAGAAAAACTGAAAACCAACTAAGTTCTAAAAATACTATTTTATTTGTTGGGTTACCAACAGTGTATGCAATTATTTAACTACTCGACAATTCTGCTTTCTATTGTGTGTAAGGGCAAAATGTTCACGAACGCATAGTTTTCGATCTTCTTCTCAACAACCTCCACACCAATCACCTGCTAACAACTGCAGCCATATCCTGCGGCTATGAATAAGGCATGTGAAAGAGTTCTTTTGAGTGTATAATGTTGACGCAGGTGTGTTTGTGTTTGAGTACAAACTCTGTGTTTAGAATTTCACATAAACTTCCCCGTGTAATAGCGGAATAAATGGCATGATGAATGTGGAACTGAGAAGAAAGGAGAGAAAGAGAACAAAGAGACAAGAAGAAAGGGGAGAAAGGGAACCGCGAAGATAGAATAGGTTAAGACAAGCACTGAGTGATAAAAAATATTTTTTTTTTTTGGACTTTGATTTCCCTAGATGCTCTTACGAGTCGCTGAAGATCGTTCAATTTTTTGTCTTTCGACAACCACAGCCGACAGATGAGCAAGCGAACAGGAACTTGAGGTAGAGGGTTGAGCTTCATCAGTAACAGTATCATTTTCTGCAGTATTTTCTTGAGGTTCAGGCGATTCCTGAATTTGTGAACCACTTTCTTCAACATTTGATGATTGGATAATTGTTGATCTAAAAAGCAGGCCGTATAAAAGTTGAATTTTAACTGTAAAACTTATTAGTACATTATATTAACATTAAGGTGCTCATCACAGATAAAAGATGTCCCATTATCGGTAAAAAGAAGTATAAATTTTTTTAAACAAAACACTAATCGAAAATCAGTGTTACTGGAAAGAAACAAAATTAACCTAGTTAGCGGTGGTAACTTTGTTGCATCTTCATAACTGGGTAAAGGAGGAAGTAAATCCTGTTCGCGTAGAATAGCTAAAAATTGTTTCTTTTTTGTCAGTGAATTTTTCTACTGCAGTTTGAAAAATTCTTTCAAATAATGATGCTGCTTAAAAGATAGTTCCGTCCACAAAGTATATACCAATCTTAAATGATCTAACTTTTGATAAAACCAAAATTTTTCACAAATGAATGTTCCTACTGAAAAAAAAAAAATTTTTTTTTAGTTCAAATGATCTTTTTTTTCTGTGTAAAGCCATTCTTTGAATATCTGTGCTACTTTGTATTTAAAAAAAGTTGAGAAAAATAATAAGCAACTGCGAAATGTACGAAGTTGATATTGTTTATATACAAATCGGCTGGATAAAATATTCTGATATTTCAAAATTCTTGCTGGACACATCTCAAAATCGGCACAAATTTTCTCGCTCTGTAAGCAGTATTTGCTGCTCTACCTTCCAAAAAAGACTGTGCAACACTCCATTTAACAAAAACTTTAACAAAATGATTAACGAGAAAGAAAATTTTTTTAAATCAGTAAGGATAAAAAAAGTCAATTGAAATAAAGTGCATCCCATAATTCACTCAAAACTAACCTCTGGTAGGATTTGACATATACGGCGGTGGGCCACCTTCAATCATAGGAGCTGTTCGAAATGACAATATTCGAGCGCTCTCTGGTGTTAACAGATTACTCCGTCTGCCATTCAAACTTTGAGCAGTACGCGAAAGTTCATCTCTACGAAGAGTTGCGAAACGATTTTGCACCTTAAATATTTGAAATAAATTTTTTTCTGCTGTTATTGTTATTTCATTTCTTTTCCATTTTGAAGAATTTTTTAAACGAACATTTTCAAATTTAATCTCAGCACTGTTGTACATTATAGGACTCAACAGATACTTTCACTAATGACAATTTCAAAAGTTTTTGTTAAAAAATAAAACTAGTGCCACATTTTACCTTACAAAGGGATTTCACTAACACAACGCAAAAGTTCAAGTCCAAAACTTAAAATGTTCGCGGCGCATTTTTTTCCTTTTTGAAAGACAGCATACGGGTTTTCCAAGACTATGTAAAATGTCTCTCGTAGCTACTTCGGAAAGTGCCAACTAAAGTCTTGAAAACTCATGTCTCAAACAGTAGATAGCATTCCGACAAACCAAATAGTAAAAAACGAAGATCCAAAAAAAAAGCATGAAAAGTTGAATAAAGTCACAAGAACGTCTCAGAAGTAAGCTATAAAACTTATAATTTAACTATGATAGCTATGAAATTTATGGTAGCTGCCAAATATCTTGAGAAAAAACAGAATCTGAAGAACAAGGTATCTATTCTAAAGTTTCAGGAAACTCAACCCAGGTTTCACACCGTTTTTCTGGTCTGCTATAAATCCTTTTCAAAAAAACAGTGAGAAACATCTTAGGTACAGTACTAGTAAAATTTGCTACGCGTCACCCCTCTTACTGTAAACCTCCTGTTAATCACCAACGTTAAACCTTCCTACATTTTAAACTATTAGTACGGTCTGTAAATGGTAGCATAATTTGTGAGTAACTAAATGCGTTTAGGGAATCCTCCTTCTCGTCATAACTATTGGAACTTCTAACACTTGTATGGAAAAAGTGCTAAATTTTTTGCCCTTTTTTAGACTTTAGTTTCTCTGATTATATCCAAGTAGGTAAAAGAAGGGACTAAATTCCTAAACTTTGCTGTTCCATGCGTGTAATACAAATTTTAAAAATCAAAATTTGCATCCGTCCCCCATGAATTGCGAGTGAGGTATGATCCAGAGATCGTAATGGTAGATGAAAATTTACCAAATATTGATGCTGTACCAAACAAAAAAATTTGAAAATAGCAATTAATGAATGACAACTACCTGCATGCGATGTTTCATTAGTAGATACATTGATACGACAAGAACAATAATCATAATTAAACTAAATATTGTACCCGAAACGTCCCGTGTAAAGAGATCATTACCCTAAAAAAATTACAATTGCATTTTTTCTTCCCGTATTCCTACTACTGAACAGTAAAATAAAAAGGATAAAAAATTCAACTGAAAATATTCTAATCTTCTAACAACTTCACTGTGTTCATTTCAATTCAGCAGCTGTTCGCATAGTTGAAATTCTGTGCTCTTACTCCACTAAGTAATTTCTTTTTGAACAATTTTCTTTGAGATACTAAGAGAACTGATAAGAAAAACGTTACCTACCTGATCATCATATTTCAAATAACGTGAATTTGCGGCAGTACGATTTGTATCAATTTCACAGTGGTATCCGAGAAAACCAGGTGGACAAATACAACGTTGTTCAACTTGTGTACCACCATTCAGGCAGACCATATCTTTGCATTCTTCTCCCTGATAAAATGGCACACAAGAGCAGTAATCCTGACCATTCGGATCTACAATAGTTGGTTTTCTTATTTTCACAAACAAACAAACTGAAACTTTTAAGCTGGCAGTATGTGTCTGCAAAGTATACCTTTAAATTCAAAGCATTTTTAATTTTTTAAAAACTTTTAATTTATTGTTTGTCCAATTTTTTCTAGCACGAAAGAAAGAAAAAAAAATTAAATTAGACATTTGACAGTTAGCAAAATAAATCATTTTTTTGAAACAATTATATAAATCATTAAATAACCATTGTGCAAAGTTGTTTAAAAGCCTTGACCAGTTTGTGCAATCAGATAAAATTTCAAAAACAAGTTCAGTTTTTTTTAAACACCCTTATTCTTTAAAAAGCAACTTTGGTTTAATTTTTTCTTCCTTTTTTTGTTCCTTTTCTAGTACATTAAAAAAATTGCATAACTGGTAATCATAAAGCACTTTTATTTTTGTTCAAAAACAAAAAGACCAGAGAAATATCGTTTTCGTGAAAAGTTTAAAACTGAATGCTATTGCGACCTTTCATCCGTGTTCCCTGATCACAGAATTTTTCACAGTATTCGCCAAAGAATGGTTCTAGGCATATACAACGAAGATTCATACTGAAAGAACGAGTTCCACGATTTTGACATGGCGGTATTCTTCTACAGTTTCTATCTAACACTTCATGATGTCCAACATCTAAAATTGTGATCCCAGTAATATAGACTTCTGCTAAAGTATCGATATTACAGTGTATCACTGAGTGACTTCAGTTTATTTTCAATCATTTACAACAACTTCAAGTAACTGTTACCAAATTAAGATGTAAATACAAAAAAAAAAATTTTCTTCCAGTTTTTTTTAAGATGTCTGTTACAGATGATTATCAGAAAACGAGAAGAAGCGAAAAAAGTGACTTCAGATATCAACTTTTGCTGCATAATTTTTTACCGTTTTTTAAAGTCACCATTCAAAGATTTCCTACCGCTTCCTCCTTTTATCTTTCAAAACGATTTCAATTTCCAAAAAAATGACTTTTTTTAAAAACTTAAACAATGTTGAACAGACTTAAAAATATAACTTTTTTTATAGATTTTATACCCATATTTTAAACGACCTCACTGCATTTTTATTTCTACCAAAACTATACATTACTGTATCTACTGCAAAAAAAAGTATTATATTTAGTTTGCCTTTGAATGATATAGCGCAAAAATATCTGTGAAGCAGTATTTTTTTTAGCAAAATCCGTGTTTTAATTTGTTTTTTATTTTTTTATTTTTTTTTTTTTTGTTTTCAATCATTACGTGTAATTAAAGATAAAGAAAAAAAAAGCAGATTCGTTTTTCAAAAACTTTTTCTTTATTTCTCAAAAAATTTACGTAAACGGAGTTGAAAAGTATAACTAACAGTTAGGTATTGTTGTGAAAAAGGGAAACTTTACTCATCTTAATCAACTGTCACGATGAAATTTCCAAAATCAACCACCTACATGAACAGTTGAGTCTTTCCTAACTTTTCCCGCTAATTAATTAACTAATTACCTGAAAGACTAATGTACAATAATGTTCAATCTGTTTCTGTAACTTTGACTGACTGCTGAATAAGTTGAATATGTTTCAAAAAAAAAATTTTTTTTCTTGAATTTGCAATTTTACTCTTCTTCTTTCGTGTTTTAAGTTAGTCCCTTATTCATTCTTTCCTCATTTTTCCTTTCTTTTTTACAGCTTCAGATTAGCATAAAGTTAAGGCATTTTGTTTCCAGTAAAAAAAAAATTTTCGACTTCTACATGAAATAACTCTCGCTTGAAAAAAAAACATCCACATTATGTTTTGATCCAAAAGGGTTACCATTCAAAGAACAATATGAATAATTATTAGCTACCATAAAACATGTTTTCTACATTTTTGTTACTGGTGGTGGTGGTAATGGCAGTGCTGCCGGTAATTCCAATTAATCTGATTTGAACTTATTGAACGACATTTGGGGAAAACAATAAGGAAAAAGTGAAAACCTCAAAAAAGCACCAAAACATATAAACCTTTCTTCCCCATTACTTTTTCCGAGTTCTTCTGGCTACATTAAAATTTCTTTCACAGATTTTCATTTGAAGCTTTAACTATTTAAGTATATGATGTTTATCTGTAGTCGCAAAAAATGTGTTAAAAAAAAGAAAGAAAACGTTGATTGAACCTTGGAACAACTAAAGAACCAATAAAACAATCAAAAAACAACTGCTAAAGATTGCTTATTTTAAGAATGCTAAATTCGAGTCTAAAATTAGGTAAAAGAAGTCAGCTGATTAGAATGAAGTGATAGAACTTTCCCATTGCATACAGGTGCATACAAATTTTTATTTTTTGTACTCATTTTCTCATTTCTTTTTATTATACCGACAAATCAAATAATTATGTTGTCCTCTGTTTGAAAAACAGTAAACTATTATAGTGTCAACGATTTTATTATTAACGGTCACACCTTCCTCACTGTTTCATTTTTATTGCTAAATCTACACTGATTAGCATCTAAAAACTGGCTAAAACAACACAGCTGAGAAGACATCTGACCAAACATTCACTTAGCAGTTTCAGTTAATATTCTACTGGTTTTTTTCATCCTACCACTTTTTTTGGCATCATTATTACTATGAAATTGAAGAGGTTGGGCTTCGCAACTTTTTTTTTTACGGGATGATAAAAGCAGTAGCGATAAGACGTGAAAAAACTGAATTAAACTGAACAAAATTGTCAAAAAAAAAAAAAAAAAAAAA